GATTAATATAAAAATAAGATCATATAAATTTCATAAGATGATACTGATACTTGTAGGTACCCTTCTCATTTGAAATTGAAAAAATCAAATTAACTTCTCCACACGTGTTTCGCAAAAGTAAAGGCCTTAACAGCGGAGAACAATGCTTAACTCAAATAACGCAACTTAATTATATTCTGGTTGGTCTTCCGTATTTTATAATTACAGCTCGATTATAAGCACAAAATTACATTTCTTAATTACTGGGGATCTTCTGATTAGTCAAAATGATACAATTTACAACGCGCTAAAAAAAGATCTATCTCATAAGGACACTTATGAAAGCCGATGCGGCTTTTAACTAATTTTATAATATTTTAACAACTTAAATGTAAAATCTATTATAAGTAATGAAATAACAAATAATTGTATTAAAAATTCATTTTTCATCGAAAAAAATTTTTTGCTTTCAGAAAATATTGTCCATATTCATAAAAACAACTAAAAGCAAATAAAAGCATTTGAAATTAAATATCTTTGTTTTATTGAGTTTTGTATGTTACAATTCAGGGCTGATTTTCAGGTACTGTGTATCCAATTAAAAACAAAAAAAAACATGATTTGCATTCCTCAAAGCCCTGTGCTTTTAATTATTGTAATCACTAAAACTGATGCGATCGAATTTCTAGCGTTTTTATAAAATTAGTTGTTTAATAAATATTTTTTAAAAATATTTCTACCATGACTTTCATAAAAAAAACATATTTATAATAATTTCGATCATCTGTGAATAGTTCCTGAAAGTTTCATTAACATCTGATAATTATTTCTATTTTTGCACGATTTTTCAAATTAATGTGTGTCATACCAAAAAAACGTCCTAAAAATTGTCTATGTTATTTAGTAGTTCCGCTGATACAAATAGAAACAAGGTTTTTTTAATCAAAATTTAGAATGTTCTAAAAAGAAGGAAAATTTTTAAAATAATTAAAAAAAACTTTTGGTCTTTCCGCTTAATAATAACATAAGCATTTAGACAATAAAATTTTGTTTTTTCAGCAAGGTTGGCGTCTTTTTCATCAAGCTATGCTCTTTTTTTAGCGATTTCGTGGAGGTACCTAAGCTAAGTGCATACTATTTCCTGTGAGTCAGTAACACTACACTACATTTAGTTTATGTTCTCCTCATGGAGACAAGTATGTTTGCTTCTAGTTCTCAATTTAGTTATATGTTCAACTGCCCTTCATGATATCTATCAAGCTCCTTTGTTATCTCTAATGTGGACATTCCCTCAATCAATAACCTTTTTCTGTTTTCAGCATTTGTTAAATTCTTTCCATTACACATCTTTCAACATATGAAAAAAAGAAAAAAATAGTTTTCAGAGTCCTTAAACTAATATTAGACTAATATGCATAATAATTTCAGACTGCAGTTTTTTATAATAAATCCAATAACTGTAATAAAACATGATGAAACTACCTAAAAATTTAACTCAAGTTTTGTTTTCAAAATTTGACATAAATCTTTCAAAGCAACTTTGCGTTATTAAGGTTTATGTGATTTGCATAATAACTTCAGATGGATGGATGTGTTTGTGTGTGCATATGTTTATATAAAAGCATTCATATAGAAGGAATAAAGTGTTTCCAGTAAACACTGGAAACAATTTATTCTTTCCAAATATGTGTTTTGTTTTGTTAAAATCTAATATTTTTCTTATCTAACTATATTGACCATTTTTGGCAATCATATACAGTAGATAGATGATGTATTCATTACTTTGGCTCAAGTATATGCAGTTTCTATTCGTAATAAATGTTGTTAATTGAATATAGAGAAGTTTTACTTTCTGATATTAGAACTGAAAAGTAATCTTATGAAAAATTGGTTACTCAGTTAATAAAATAATGATTGAATATTCTTAGTTATGGATGATTAAATTGATCTTTACTTATCATGTATACTACAGCTGAGAAACATATTTCCTTGTCTCATTTTGTAGGAAATTATTTGTATTTTTTGAATAGATATAATTAAAATTCTTAAAAGTAGTCATAAATTGACTACAATCAACAAATGACTGCCCCCCTCCAAAAAAACAGACAACATATACATACAATGAAAGGCATATATAAGCAATCATACACACATACATTAATAAAGACACACACATATACACACCTAAATCCTTAAACTACCTAAACTCTATATATCTTTGCCCATGTAAGTAATATTTTAATAGTCTGTTTGAATTTGTTTACTAACACTTTCAAACTTGAATCTTTGTAGGTGCCTTTCATTGTATGTATATGTTTTTTTGTGGGGGGCAGTTGTGGACATCTCTTTCCTGTTTCATTCATGTTTTTGCATGTTTATATATCTAAATATGTCTACGTGTTTGTATATTATAATCTGATTGTGTATGTATTGTCTTTTGCAAAATTTCATCCTCCATTGCCTATATCACTACTTCAAATGTATCTAAGTTGTAACAAAGCTTTATATCCACATTAGATTTTAACGTTTATTCTAACTGAGATTTTGGCCTCTCAATTAAAACAAAGTAAATAATAAAATATATGTATTTTTTCCTCAGTTTCTTCTTTAAATAATTTTATATTTTAAATTTAATACAGATTAAATTTAAAATTGGTAATTTTTAATTTTCTAGTAAAATTTAATATTAATTAATCATAATGATTTCTATTTTAGTCTAACCCTAACATTAAAGCATTAATTAATTATTATAACCAAGGTTCATTGTCAAGTTTTTTGAATTCTCATATACTTGTATTTTGATTGGTCATTCCAGCTTATGTAACAGCATTTCTCCTAGTAAGGGGTGGTTGGTTGATTTGAACCTTTTAAAAATCTTTATTCTACATTCAACACCATCACTTGATAAGACACCAAATGTGTTGAAACAAAATGGCTATTTTTGTAGTGATTCTATGACATATTTACATTATAATTTTTGAATAATTTTATATATATATATATATATATATATGTATTTAAAATTTGTCACTTAGCTGATTGATGTTACCTTCAGCATCCTGACTTTAGAGTTTCATAGACAGACTCTCCAGCAATCATTCCATCCACTTATCAGGAGCTATGGTCATATGTTGAAACGCCAGTTTAAACAATCTCGAACCTTGATGGATGACCGCAGGTGTTATAAGTTTGGAAGTGTGGGTGGTATAATGGATAATCTCTTGGAATGAAAAATTGGAAAGCTGAGTTCAAATTCTAATTGAGTTTGTTACATTCAGTTACATGCAAATACCTTAGGGAAGGTAATGAATCCATCTCTTCTTCCCCCAGTTAGGGGTTAATAGGAGTAGTAAAAACCTACTGAACCCTTATCCATTGTTTTTGATGGAAGAACCAATCAATCCATTGATTCGTCTGTGTGTAGCAGAATATTCATGTATAAAAAAAGAATTAATTTTCAAAGACAGATCTACAAACTTTAATAATTTTTATTTATTTGAATATTATTTTCTTTTAAATTAAAAGAAATGAATTACAAATATTCTTTGCAAACAACTTCACACAAAATGTTTTGTGTATCTTTGTTTTACAGTACAACTGAATGAATTCCATTTGTACATTTTCAATCAAGTCTCCTGAATAGTGAATGTAATTTCTTAAAATCTCAAAGTAGGGACAAGATAAATGAACATTTAATTATACTTAGTATTATTAATGTTACATCTCTTGATATTGAGTACTATGATTACAAAGACAGCACCCTTTAAAAATGTTAACTTCCAGAAATGCCCTGGTCATCTAATTTTTTGATGAAATGCAATCTTTATTACTGTTACGTAAGACTAATACTAGGTAAGTGATTGATTAAATGGAAGAAACTCCTAAGTGATGCATTTTGTTCTCAGAAGGAATTTCTTCAGACTAATAACTGTTTTATTGATGGAATCAGTTTTATATACAAAAGGTGAAAAGTACAAGGAAATGTAATAAATGCTGGTTACTGTTTACATCAAAATATTACAGATACAAAAACGTTCAGCTTTAAATTTAAATTTTGACATTTAATGTATCTAATTGTTAACTGAGCCCATCTCATTCAGCTTTTTATCACTTTTGTTTTTAATGTTTGTTTTTTTTTTTTTTAAAAAAACAAATTACTGGACAAAAATTTAAATTTAAAACGATTAATTTGTTTTTTTCACACATGGTCTTATCTTTATGACCAGCCAAAAAAAAATCCTTTGTTCAATGTTTGTTTAAATTAATCAATTAAAAGCTTAAAATGTTCACTTGTTTGTTGATAAATTACATTTTCTAATAAAATGTAAATGTTTTGCTAATATATTTTGATTTAAGTAACAGTATTTTATATTTTTTTTAACCCTTTTGTATTTGGTCTTAAGATTTCGAGCAAGGGTGTGTGTATATTGTGTGTGTGTGTGTGTGTGTGTGTGTGTATATATATAATTGTATAACCTAATGATGAAGATAATATTTACTTTACCCAATAATCTTTAGTTTTTCAACATGATCTTCTTTCTTCTTAATACCCTAAACTCAGTGCGGAATATAAGATCAAAAATTATAAAGGGACAATTTCAGTTCAAATTTTAACCATTAACTTTGTGTCTCTTTGCAAACTTATTGATCCATTTTCATATTAATTGCTTGTTTACTAAATTTTGGGTACTAGTTTGTTGGTGACTAGTATTTGTACCAAAATTATTCAACCCAACTTCTATAATTCCTCAAAACATTGATAAGTTAAAAATTCTATTAAAAATATTGATAACAATAATCATATAATTTTTTGATTAGCTGGAAGCAACAATAGTATTGCATGTATTGCACATTGTGACGAAAATCATTCTTCTAATTGTTCCTAGAAATCAATTGCAATGGGAATTTAAAGCAACAATCTTTACAGCTGTTGGAATAAAGTATTTTCATCAGACCTGTTTCAGTTTATAAAGATCAGTAATAAAATTTTAGTTAACTTGCAAGAACCCTTTTTCTTACAGGCCTTTACTATGATAGCTGTCCTCAACAGTATGCGTTTTGCTCTTGGTTCTCTCCCATATTGCTTCAAAGCATTATCTGATGCTTCTGTTTCTATAAAGAGATACCAGGTGAGTAAGGATAATTTTATTTGTTTACACATTTTGTGCAGTTTTTATACTGTAGCAGTTTCTTTAATCTGTTAACTGCAGTAGAATTTTTCATCATTCGCAGTTTAGCTACAGGACAAATTCCTATCATCCATTAATGGGTAATGATATTGATTATCTTCTAGGTGAAAATTCCATTGAAAATGGTAATTTTCTTGTGATGCTTATAACTTTATTATTTTCTTTCCAAAGTCTTACCTGTTCAAACACAGAAATATTTTATACAAGTCATAAAAGTTGTAAGCAAAACTTTAAAAGAGAAAAATGAAATCTTAGAAAGAGTTAAGAAAAATATTCAATTTACATTTAATATCACTTTAATTTTAATAATATAATGGTAACCTAAAACACTTGGAAAAATCAGGAAGTATTGAATGTGTACATAAAGATAACTAATGAGGAAAATTTTTGTGAAGGTCATTATGCATTTTTGTCTTAGAACTGGAGCTAGAAATGACAACTTTGAATGAGTGAAAGATTGGTACAAGTAATGAAAAAGTTATGTTTTCAATTATTTTCCAGAAAAGAGATTTACAAATAGTATTTAAATAATTTTAAAATAAGGATATCTTTTTGCATCTGTTCTGATACAGTCTTTTAGATTAATACTGTCAATAAATTTTGAATTTCACATTGAAAGTCTTATTTTCAAAAGTAAATAATATATATATATATATATATATATATATATATATAAATAAAAATATATATAAATAAAATGTCTGTGATTGCTTAGTTTGAGTTTTCCCCCTTAATAATAGCTTGTTTGATGTTTGTGTAGGTAGATGGCATAGCTTATTTCCATAGCAGTTGTGCTGATAAGTAGTTTATATGAAAAAGTGCATTGTTGATTGATGTTGTGTGCAGTTTGTTGGAATTTTTTCAAACACTAACTAGATTATTTTGCTTAATCAAAATCACAGGAATGCAAAGGATTTCTACATACACTGGTGTGCAAAAGTTTGGGCCAACTACATAAAATGATTATACATCTTTATTTTATTAAGAAGTTAAGATTATTTTGTAATATGCTTTTATCAGTAGTATCTGTGGACTTAGATTGGAAAATGTGATGAATTTTTGAAGATGTCATATAACAGAAGATTTTAAGTAGCTTGAAGCTGAAAATAGATGTTATAAAATAAAATAAGACATATCTTGGCTGATTTACAGGGAAATAAACTAACATACTCAAGAGCGAGAGCCGGATGTGAACGGGACAAGGCCCCATCACAAAATGACCATTATCTTCATTTACGCATGTTCCCGACATACGATTTCTGGTCGAAAAATAAAATAATATTTTAAAGTGTTTCTATTTTTCAACCAATAAAAATGCTTCCCTCCTAATTATACTCATGTCGTTTTTCGAGCCTGTTAAGCCATAAAATAATGCCATAAAAGGGGTCACACGGAAGTACAACGGCAGTCAACAGGAGGCCAGGGAAGAGACCTGTCACGGTCAGGTTGAGTGGTCAGCAGCAGCCAGCAGCATGAGCACCAGCATCAACCAGTGTGAACTACTATGAGAGCTCAACCCAGATTCGAAGCTGGCTTATGAACTTTACCAAAAGGTAGCTGTCCCAAACCCACATGTTCCTGCTGAAATAAATCACGTAAATCTATATCTGCTGTTGTCGTATTTCTTTCTTGCAACCATACCCTTGTCTATAACACTGGTGTCAGAAGCGTACATCAAGAGAAATATGGCCGAGTACATGAGCTTCACCCGAGCTGAACTATTTATTCTCATCAAGGAACAGAAAACAGTACTATTCAACTTGAAAACGGGACCAACACAGCCTTCCGAAGCCACGATACAAGAAATTCAAGCCGACATAAACGACATGCTGACTGCCCTAAAATCAACTACTTTATCACCTCCCACCACTCAAACAAACGGCGATTACAGCTTAATGATGCGCCAACAAATTATACATGACATATTGAAGCTAGAGAGAACTTTTCACCATGGACACGATGTGAACCAATTCATCACGACTCTAAACAAAGCATGCACAATCCACGTCATGCCAGAACTCAGCACCTATCCCAGCCTAGAATGCGAATTTGTCAAGTCTGCTAAAGATTTACTGGACCAAAGTATCTTTCAGCAGATGGTTGACTCAAAAAAAGACATATCCACTTTCGAACAACTGAAGGAATACTTATGGAAGCCAGATGACTAACTTCCAACACCTCAGTCAAGCCTGGGATCTGGAACGGCGTGACAGCGAAAAATTAACAGACTTCGCAGGTCGGCTCGAAAACACCCTTAGAGAGGCAGCCGTCCATATAAAAAACAAATACAAAAAAGACAAAATTTCCATCATCGGCGCTATGCTAATGAGCGAAAAGGTGAAAATTTAGAACTCAAATCTTTACCTACATCTTGTCAAGACAATGGACAACCACTATTCAGCCATTGGCATAGCCTCTGAAGCTCAAAGATACCTTGATTGCAGTGTAAAAACCAATGACACGACTTCGCACAATACTGTGTATTTCACACAGAAACCACAGCAGACAAACCAAAGAAACACGCCACTCTGACCCAGCAGGCAACCAAACCCACAGCAGATGGGCTTCACCAACCCTCCTGAACATGGCCACCATCCGACACACAGAAACCATCAGCACACACCAGGAATCAGCGTATGCAAGAACTACCTCAGAGGTCACCCCTGCCACCATGGATGCAACTGACTATATCGCCACCCACCTTGCACTCGGGCACAGGCCCATATCGCCGCAACGAATGATAATATACAAGCCATAAATGATGTAGAACAGGATTTTCGCTTCGGGCAGGATGAGATGTGATGCCTCGTTAAGCCATGCCCCTACGCCAGCCATCACACCTTCAACTTTCAAGGACTCGCTCACCATTCACCGCTCGTCCAGTCCACCTTCAACTTCAGGGACATCACCTCTGGCGTCACAATGCTAGACTCTGGATGCTCCACCTGCATCGTACCAATATCTCAGTTACCCAGAGAAGCCAAGAAACCCATGACCTGCTCCGACATAGTAAAAGGAATCAACGGCAGCACCACCGCCCTTAGCGAACTGACTTACAACATTACCATCGGCAGTCGAGACTCACCCACATTCAAAAAGGTTAACGTGCTGGTAAATACCCAAACCACAACAATCCTGATCGGCCAAAATATCCTATGTCACAACACGCTCGATTCCTATCTAATCGACAACCAAAATGCGACTATAGAATTCAGACGCACACTTTCCTCAGGATGCACAACACACACAGCCGCAATCATATCACCGTCATCGTCAACCAACGATCCAGCATATGGCGCCCAAGCTGACGTCATCCAAAACCAGCCTACTATGGGACTACAGCCCAACATCCAGACACTGGATCAAAAGTTAACCTGGCTAAAGCATAACACAGGGCTATTGCTACCAAACCACCTGAACTGAGATGAACTAGAGGCCACTGCAAACTTACTCATTCACTACACTGACGTTATCGGTACCAATAGCAGCAGCAAAGGCACATTCATCCGACCCATTCGCATACCAACCAATGGCCAGTCTCACAGCCAGAAACAACACCCGATTGCCCAGGCTTTGGAAGCAGACGTTGATACCGAAATTAAGCGCATGACCGATGAAGGTATCATTGAAAACTGCAGTGACCCCAAATGCTTCAATAGACCTGTATTTGCCGTACTCAAGAAAACGGATCGATTCGTGTCATCGCTAACTTTAAAAGAACTCTCAACAAGGTTTTAGTCGATCTTGACCCTTACCCAATGCCAAGGATCGACCACTTGTTCAACAAAATCGGCAAAGGCAATAGATATTTCACTTCCCTCGATCTACGCAGTAGCTAATGGCAAATTGAGATTGACAAGCGAGACCGATACAAAACAGCATTTACATGGAAGGACCAATGCTATCAATACACGCTCCTGGCCTTCGGCCTTACATGTGCTGGACAAATCTTCTCCCGTTGCATAGCAGAAGCCTTAGCCACGGTCACATCCCGTGACAACATTTCTTCCTATATCGACGACAACCTGGTCGACGTTAGGACATTTAGGGAGTACATACTCTCCTTCGAACAATTTTTTACTGCCCTCCGAAAATTCGGACTCAAGCTGAATCTAGATAAATGTTCCTTCCTTGCATCAGAGGCAAAATTCCTCGGACGCATAGTAAACAGCGAAGGATTCAAGGCTGATCCAGAATACGTTCGTGCCATCAGGGAAATGAAACCTCCAACATCAAAAAAGGAATTACAAAGCCTTATCAGCCATTTAGTGTGGATCAGACAATTCCTAGAGACACGTCTTCACGAACAAATCAGGTCAGATATGTTTTCAAAACTTATGGGTCCCATACACGAACTCAACAAGGTTAATAAACCATTTATCTGGATGCAAAATGCCGACAGAGCCTTAAAAAAAATCAAGGACCGTCTCTCTTCACCACCCGTCATCTCGTTTCTGGATTTCTCCAAACTTTTCACACTCACCACCGACACCAGTGACGTCGCATGTGGAGCAATCTTAATGCAAGAAGCTGACAATGGGAAGAAAGATATCATAGCAGTTGCTTCCCATACATTCAACTCCACGGAACAGAACTGGTCCACGACGGAACGAGAGGCATATGCAATAAAGTGGGCAATATTGAAATTTGATTATTTCCTTCGCAACCGCCCCTTCGTCATCTTCACCGACCACAGATCGCTGACATATCTGGACCAACGAGAGTTCAATAATGCCAAAATACGATGATGTCAAGAAGAAATTTCATGTTATAAATTCGTCTTAGAATATGTCGAAGGCGAATCAAATGTATGGGGTGACATGCTCATCAGAGGTTGTGGACATAAGAAAACAAAAGCCCTGAACGACACTACACCAGCAGGCAGGACATTTGAGGTAAGCGGTTCAGACCTCCGCATATACATCCCATCTTGGTGCCTC